CTTTACGCACCTATTTTTGATGCTATACTAAGTGATCCCTAAAACAAAAGTCTTGGAGAGACTTTCACTTTTTGAAGACCGAATGTTATATAGCTAAATGTCCTTTTACAAACAGATCGAAATTCTAAGTCCCAGCTGCTAATAAAAATTGCCGGAAAACATAAACATTTAGCGTTCAATGATAAGCACTGCTGAAGACCGTTTTCTGAAACCTAGTCTGGAACTTGACATAGTCCTTAAATACAGCATTTTCAGTTGGGCTTGTCAATAATGACAATCACATCTGAGATTAACAGAATTCCTCGTAGTAGTGGTCACATTCTCACAACTCTCACAACTCACGAGACTCTCGAAATGAAGTAATTTCCCGGCTCATGAAACAATTCATAAACAATCATATTCGACTCAAATTAAACATTAATTTGAACGTTTGATTAATTTCTCCAGCTTATTTTACTGACAACACTTCTGAACTATTACGAACATTTTCATTTTTATGAAATTCTCCTTCAGCGCAATACATTTTTCGCTCTTATTATTGTCAAGTTCCTACTCTCATTTCCGTATCTCTTGCAAGCTCAGTACTATGCCTGTTTAATAGAGTTAAGTCGTCAGTTCAGTTAACCTATTACTACGTTTACAAAGGAGAATATCCACACATAAGTAGCCGACCTGTAAAATTTGATAATCTGAACTGACCAAGAAGCCGGTAACCTCGATTTGATTGACAATAATTACTAACGTCAACGTTAGACGAAGCAATATTTCGATAATCTTAATATTTTTGTAAAATACGCAAAAGGCCTATATGGAATCTTATTCTCACATAATTATTGATTTCATTAAATGATCAGATAACACAAAATGTTCTCCTAGTTGTCTATATATGATTAAGAAAAAGTATCTTTAAAAACAGAAAAACAGATTTTAAATGAGGACGTTTATCTAAAGTATTATTTAATAAACTTATTTTAATTCTCCAGACATTATTCTTTAAAAAAAAACAAATGTTTTTTTTTTTTTTTAATATGTTGAATTGGTGCGGAAGGATTTTGTTAGACTTGTTTTCGTTTTAGGGCTGATTTTCAATAACAACTTATGGTTTATAATTTCATCAGGTGAAGACTTTACTCCGGTTTGAAAATTGATAGAACAGAACCCACGCACATGAACTTCAGATGAAAGTTCTAATAAATCGTGCGTTAACGTCAAGGTTCTCTTTGTAGAGATAGGCAATTTATCACATTTTTTTTTTTTTTTTTTTTTTTGTTATTTTTCTTCAGGGAGAATCGTATAATAGATTCTTTCTTTTTTTTCTCGCTTTTTTCTTGCAAATGAATCTGGTGAATAAAAGGTGGTGGTGGAAGGAAACACAGGAAGAAAAAGAATAATGATGATTAAAAAAAATAAAAATAAAAAAAAGCACAGGAATGAATTCGTGTCCAAAATTTATTCCTGTTTTTTGATCCTTCCTGCGTTCCTCTTCAAGAGCAAAAACGTTTAGAATAAAGCAAATGGAGAAAGGAGAAAGATATAGAAAACGGGTCATGTGGCTGGCACATGTAAAAGTGCATCCGGAAAGTTACGAAAGCGGAACGAACGAACAGTTTATTCGGACATAATGTTTAGAGTTCCTGATATTTTTAATTCTGTTTTATATTATTCTTTCAAGTTGGTGGGTTGGTTTTACTCTATTTAAGATGATCTTTAGTTACTGGCTCCACTTAAAGAAATCTGGCTCAGTATTGAGCAAAGGCAGACAGAAAACACGTTCTGCCCACTGAATGACAAATAGTCTTAAATTAAAGGTGAAAGCAATGAACAGGTGTTTTGCTTTGGACAAGTTTATTATGTGAATGAACTGTTTTTGTTATCAATGCATGTTTTACTCAAACGAAATATTTTCTATTTGATTTTTTTCCTATTTGAATTTTCTTATTCATTTTTTTCCTATTTCAATGTTTTTATGAATCATAATTCTTAATTTCATGATGAAAGAAAGTCGTTGCTACTTCCACTTCTACTATAAAATCCACTTGGACATTTCCTTATTGCATGGTGAATTATTTGAGCTTAACAACTTTAATAAAATATTTCAATAACAGTCATAAATAAAAATGCAGGTCTTTATTTAAAGAAATAAGAGGGTACAAATGAAAAGCTTCAACTCTGACGATATATTACCGGAGCAGATATTAAAATCATAAGAACGTTATCGCCTCCTCTTTCTTCCATTCATTTTCTTCTTCTTCTTCTTCTTCTTCTTCTTCTTCTTCTTCTTCTTCTTCTGGTCATCATCATCATCATCATCATCATCATTATTATTATTATTATTATTATTATTATTATTATTATTATTATCTTAGTCTATCTCAGTAAAACCAAACAGCGTCTCTCTTATATGTGTTTCGGTCGTCTTTTCTCGCAATTAAAACCAAATGGTCCATTATTTGTCTGAGGTAATGACAGGGCGTAACACACATGCTAACTTACTAATTAAGAGGAACAAGCAGAGTTATATGATTTGTCGCACTATTAATGGCTATTTTACTCATACGGTAATTTCAAGTAAAATCACTGAAATATTAAATTTCTTATAGTGTTGCAAACCGTTCTTACACCTGCTACAAGGAAGACTTTTATTTTAAATATTTATTCAGAAAGCCGTTTCTATCACGAGTATAACTCATTTCCATTCACCTATGGTCATTAGCAAAATGGTCAACCCCAGGTGTGTGCTACAAATTGGAGACGTACAGAAATTTAACTATCTGGGAATTATTTTAACAGGAAAGTTTGACAGGGAAATCCGAAAACGCATTTGAATAGCGAAAGATACATTCCAAATCTAAACAAAAATTCTTTTAGAAAGAAAGAAAAATTCCGTTAGAAAGATTGAAAGAAAGAAAAGAGTCCTTAACTGCTATGTAATATCAATCCCCCGGTATGGCAATGAATGCTGAAAAATTTCTTTACGTATGAAGAGGAGACCTGAAGCACCAGACGTACTTCTACAAAAACATACTGAAAAATCCATGGATGGAACATGTGAGCAACGAGGAAGTTTTAAAGAAAAATTGAAACAAAAAGAACATTTTTGTGTTTAGAATTAGAAAGACACAATTGAAGTTTCTGGGATACCTAATGAGAAAAAAGGACTTGGAGAATTTGACACTCAAGGGACATACTGAAGACGAGAGATGAAGAGGGAATCTTCACGTAACATTCCTAATGAGCTTGTGTAAATGGATGGAAGAACAATGATTTGGTCAAAATTTACTTAGAACTATAATGACACAGTACTGATAGCATACAAGGAAAAGAAATTACAAAATCTCCTACAGAAGGTAGCGACGCAAAGTGAGAAAAAGGGACTAAGTATAAACTACAAGAAGACAGAATGCATGGTCATCAGTAAAAGGAAGAGACCGAAATGCGATTTGCAGGTCGGGAACACTAGAATCAATCAGACGCGGAAGTTTCAATATCCGGGAAGCGTTTTGACAGAGGACGATAAGTGCGACACTGAGATCCGTAGACGCGTCGTGATGGGCAAGGATACATTCCAAAAGCTGGGCTGAGTATTGCGACACAAGAGGATTTATTTGGTAGCAAAGAAAATAATAATGAGCAGTTACGTGACATTTGTCCTCCTTTACGGCAGCGAATGTTAGACGATTTCCTCAAAGATGAAGAAGAGACACGAGGCGACGGAGATATGGTTCTACAGAAGGATGCTAAGGATATCCTGGACCGAGCGTGTGAGTAAGTATGAGGTCTTAGAGAGGTTGCAAACAAGAAGGCTTATACCTAACATCAGGAAGAGGCAGCTGAAGTTTCTGGGACACATGAGGAAATAGGGCCTAGAGAATCAGATACTTACGGGTCGAATAGAGAGAAAGAGTGACAAGGGAAAACAACGCGTGACATACCTGGCGGGCTTAAGCAAATGGATAACAGAACGTGGTCTGGTGGAGGAAGCAAAGGGAAGGAATTTGTTGAGAGCTGCAAGGGATAGAGGTAGAGCGCCATCATTATCTACGTCCTTAAAGGACATGGCACATAAAAAGAAAAGAATACAGAAACAATAGTTTCTGTCGTGATTCTCACTACCGACTTATTGTACTGTTACTACGCCCTACTTAGCTTTAGGCATTTTCTATTAAAATAAATATTTTACGGGGCGCAAAAACTGGTTGTATCATTGCTGAATTTTACAATACTTCGTTTAAAGTTTGATTTTACTAAACAATGCATTGCGTAATAAAAATAATTATAGAAATGCTTTGTATTTAATTTGTTGCTAGAAATCATTGAAAATAAACAAGAGAGGAGAAGGCAGTTTTCAGGAATTAATGCGAGCCCTATTCTCGATCTATAATATACTTTTTTGCTTTAATTCATCCAATAAAAGGCCCAAGACAAATTGATATTTTTACGGCTTAACAACCATTTGAAATTATTTAAAGCCGAAACATATTTTGAATTGTAGGAGGCTGTTTACTATAACCGGTGTTCCCATATAGTCCCCTAACTTAATACTGACCGGGCTCGACGCTGCTTAACTTCTGTGATCGACCGGGAACCAATGTTTTCAGCGTTATTCGACTGTAGCCACACTCAAGGTAGAAGGTAACTGGGTGAGATTATTCTAAGGAAGAGGGAATGAGGAAGTAAGAAGTGTATATTATGAGGATATGTATGATGGATATTAGTTGACCTTGACCTTGAAGAGATTAAGGTTGGAGTAGTCAAGGAATCACTTTCTCGGGAATCTGTTCCACAAAGAAAACCCAGAAAGGGAAAAGCAATGGTCAGACATCTATGTGATCCCTGTTCACAAAATAAATCTATTATATACATTTTTTAATTTAATTCTCCGAATACAAGACCCAAGTGACACTCAAAGTAGATTGACTGAGGGATTTATTTTTTATAGCTTATCAACATTTTGTAGATTATTAAAAAGCCGATACATATTTCGGATTGTATGAAGTTGCTTACACTACCAGGTGTTCCCATGTGGTCCCCTATATAAGTACTGAACAGTCTCAACGCTGCTTAACTTCGGTGAACGATCATGAACTGGTGTTTTCAGCGTGATTTGCCGTAGCCACACGCAAGGTAGAGGGTTACTGAGTGAGATTGCTCTAAGGGCGTGAACGAGGAGGGTGAAGGAAATAATAAGTGCATAGGATATGTATGATATATATCAGTTGACCCTGGACTTGAAGAGGTTAAGATTGAAGTGGTTGAGGAAGCATCCTCTCAGGAGTCTGTTTCACAAAGTAACAATTCTGGTGAAGAAGCCGTCCGAGTTGAACTTACTTAGCAAGCGATGATTTAACACCATGAAGATGGCACGGTGAGTCCTAGTTATGAAGGTCTGAACATATGACATAGGTTAGTGAGAGACTAACAACGTTTTATCTACGGGGATAAGAGATGTATGGCAGAAAATAATTCATCACCAACAAGACCACGTAATCGTTTGTTTGTTTGTTTGTTTTTTTAACTCTGGCCATTCAGATATTTGGAGATGCACCCATACACCGTAGTATTATATATAAATATATATATATATATATATATATATAGATAGATAGATAGATAGATAGATAGATAGATAGATAGATAGATAGATAGATAGAAAGTATGTATGTATACAGCTTCTTCTTCTTCTTCTTCTAAATTATTAGAAAGGTTTAGTAAAATTCCCAGAATTGAGCAAACAAAACGTTTATTCATGTTGCACGTGAATGTTTATGATCAAAAGAAACTAATAAATAAGATAATCAAACAAATAATAACAGATACAAACAAAGGCACAGTTTTAAACAAATTTATAAGAAATGTGCTTTCCCTGTTTTGAAATTACTTGAAGAAGTCGACGATCCATAGAATTTGTTAATTGTAGGATGTCATCTGCTGTAATGCCGCGAGATATGTCAAGAATTGCTTCCCACAACTCAGCGTTGCTCCTAAATTGTCGTCCGTTGGCGTACAGTCTTCGCTTCGTGATGCTCCAAAGGTTTTCGATTCGGTTCAGATCAGGAGAATTTGCTGGCCACTTCATTTTTCGAGGTCCATCGAAGCCTAACTGTTTCAAATATTCAGTAGTCTTGTGAGCAGCATGTGAGGGAGCATTATCTTGCATAAAAACAATGGCCCTTCTGAAGGAAACTCTTTGCCTTTTCATCCACAGTTCAAGATGCTCCTTCATAAACGCTATGTATGCATCAGCAGTCATTTTGACGCCATCTGGTACTCTCCATGGGCCCACTAATGTTTTTTTTTTCAATAATACCACCCAGATCATTATGCCTCCACCGCCTTGTTGGCGTCTCAAACGCTGATGGCGATTCTGTCCGTTCATTACCCAGCCTTTGCACCATCTATCTGGCCCATCAAGTGTTGCTCGAGTTTCGTCTGTGAACAAAACTTTAGAGAAGTCAATCTTCATATTGTCCTCGGCCCATTTCAATCGATTTTGAATGTGATTTCTCGTCAACGGAGGCTTCGATACAAGTTTGACTGTTGTTGCTATTTCCCTCAGATACTGACACCGAGTACTTTTAGACACAGTAGGATCCCCAAATGCGACTGCAAAGCTCTTGACTGGTAAGTCCAGGATTCTTCGTGACCTCTCGTTTAAGTCGTGACATGAGACGACGTGAAATAACCCACGGCTTGCATTTATCTGCCCTTTTGCGTACTTGTGTAGGGTCGGCGGTGAACTTTTTCACTGTTTGATGACACCTCCCTATCATTTTAGAAATTTCTAGGGTAGATTTACCTTTTGAGAGTTCTGAGGTGATAGTTTTCTTTTCAGCATCACTTAAACTGCTTTTACGGTCCATCTTTTCACTAAATTCTTACACTTTTCTAATAATTTGGCACGCTCAAATCACCGTGCAAATATGGCGCTAGTTTGTTTACATTGTGCAAATCAGTACGAAAATTTCAGTGTTTTTGTAGGTCGGTGTTGCCAACATTGTGTGAAAATTTTGTGTGAATTGATTGGACGGTTTTTGAAATATTAGAAAAAGTTATCTCGATAATAATTTGGCACGCAGTGTATATATATATATATAAAAAATATATATATTTATGTATCTTGTCTATGGACTGATAAAAATAGTAAAATAGCACTGTAGATTTATTTTTTTTTTTTAAGTAGACCAGATATCATTTAGCTACAAAACCTGCTCTATAAATTTATTTATATATTCTTTTCCCATATATATAAAAATATAAATTTAATTTAATGGACCTGATATATATCCAAATATGTCTGATAATTTATAACAAAATTATTATCCATTGTTTGAGAATTTAAAAACTGTTTTAATATATTGAAATGATTAAAATATAAATTACTGGATTTATTGTTTTTATAACACTATTAGAGGACTGACCATTAACAACGATCTTCATGAATTTAACTGATTTATTTGTAACATGATTATCCATATTCTTTCAGAGATTCCACTGCTTAAGACACTATTTAGCAAAATTTTTTAAACTAATTCAAATGTTCGAGATGGTTATTATATGTATTTATTTTAAGATTTAAATTCCAGATTATGATAGGAGAAAAACCAATACTGAAGGCGCTCAGGAGATTGATTCTATATTGTTCAGATTGAATTATAAATTTTTCTTTCCACTTGATTATTGTAAATGAAAATATTTTTCAACGACACTAAGAATATATTAAATATATTTTCAATATATATTTGATTATATCTAAATGGTCAGGATTCACCCACGTTTAAACAGTAAAAAAATATTCACATAAAATTAAACCTTCCATTTAGTCTTTTAAATGAAACCTGAACATTTTTTCAGACAGCAAATTTTTTCAGCATTACCAAGATTATATATAACATTTTTTCCAATATATATATAATAACTACATATATATATAAGAAAATATATATATTTGATAAATGATAATTCATTCTTGTATCCAAAATTAAAATAAAACATTATTCATATTTTTAAGGTTGCCATTGTTTTTTTTTTTTTTTTTTAAAAAAAATTCAAACATCTATTTTCTTGTTAATTTTAATTTAATTAAAACAAACTGGTGATAAATTAATTATTCAAAATGAGTTAAATTCTAAAATTTTAAAAAATTTTGTTTTTGTTAAAAATGTTGAAAACTAACTAGTAAATAAATTACAACAAAATGGCGAATCAAAAAAGAAAACAAATTTTTTTATTTTTTTACGGATATTAAAATATTTTAAAGAAAAGATTTGATCAAAAAACCGGTTTTTGGAACATTAATTGAATTTAAATTTAATAAAATATGTTTTTAAAAAAATTCAAATCTTGATATGTACCGCGAGAATAAGAAATTGTCCAAAATAAAAAGCTATATTTTTCGTTTTAAACGTGTTTTCAGCTAAATTTCAAACAGACATTAAAAAAAATATATTACAGTAAAACACATTCACAAAACTTACATATATTTCTAATATATCAGAGATATTTTTTCCATTAAGGATTGTCGTCTACTAGTATTTCCACGTAAATATTACGTTTAATTATACAAATATATTACATTTTTTCATTATATGATATAAAAAAATAGCTGGTTTCAAAAAAGTATATTTATAACCCATAATGTCGGAAGATGGAAGAGGTGACCACGGTAGAGTCTAACTTTTCCTAAGCAAAACGTGAACTCTTAAGAATTTATGGTCCTCGAAATGCAAATGTAATTTGAACATTTAATTTTTAAGAAAAAGAGTATATCTTCTTTGGCTGATAAACTACTTCCATTTTGGTTCTTTTTCTGAAGATTCTTCTTCTATGAACATATTCAGAAATTTTGGCCATGTGCGATCATGGCTGTCCATAATCCCTTTAAATTTAGCAAGTTTTTTTCCCTTACCAAGACTTTTAATTCTATGCATTATCGGCCATCCATTCAGCACAAATTTTCAGGTCCACGGACCTATATCTTCCCCTGTCTCATTTGCCTTGGATATTAATCGTGAATGTCACATTCTCCAAGTTCTTCTTGTGTCCAAAAATTTTCAGCTAGCTTTTTCGTATTCTTGGTATAAGTGGATTTTGTGTTTCCATTTTCCTAAGGAGTTTTTCGTTGATTTTTGCTTCATCCATGGTATTCTTGGTATCCTTTTTTTTTTTTTAATTTTTTTTTTTTAAATTTCTCTTCATCTCTTATGGGATCGTCCAGTATTCAAACTTTGTTGCTAAAAAATTTACTGATAATAAGACTATTCAGTTCAAAAGATTAAATATTTTTTTTGTTCCAAAGAATGATTCCTATTTTGATTATTTTAACATTTTTTATATATTATTATCTTTGCTGTAATACATAATGAATTTTTTATCCAGCATTTTCCATTCCCTGCAAAAAAAGACTTTCCAGATATTTAAACATCTATACTTGTTTTCTACAATTATTAGTTCGCATCTTAGGCTTTTCCTCTTACTCACAACCATACATTCTGTGTTTTTACAGTCGATAGTCAGTTCTTTCTTCTCGTTTTCCTTTACTATTTTGTCTAGGAGTTCCTATAGTTTTACTTCTCTGCCTGCCATAAGCAAAGTGTCATCTTTGTATCGATCACGTTTATAAACCAAAAGTATGATATCTATAGCGAAGAAAAGAACTTCCCTCGTCAAATAAGAAACAGCGCGTCGCGTGTATTCTACGATTAAAATTTTTAACTTTAAAAATAAAAATATTCGGCGGATAAAATCATATTGGTGTTCTCGAATCAGGGGAAAATAGTCGGTGTTTTTTGAACACACTTTCAGATTCTTTCTGACTGGTCGTTTCGTGCATTAAAAGACGTAAATAGTACATAAAAATCAAGTTTTTCCAGCATTTTCTTTCTGTCCCCGATGTTCAGTTTGAACTTAAATTTAAAATTATTTATATAAGTATATCTTAAATAATCTGCGACAAACATTTCCTTTGCAATCCCAGATCGTTTACAATATCTAATTAAATTAAAAGCATCTAGTGAAGGTCTGTCTTCATTTTGGATGTTGTAAATTTAAAAGTAATAAACGAAAACACTTTCATAAATCAAACTAAACTCTAGGACGTCTACCTTGGC